AAATGTCACTAGAACATAATTTTCTCCAGTTTCTTAATGTTTGTCTATGAAGTTAAGGATATAAGCAAAATAACATTAAAGATAATTCTAATAAAGTTAATCCCATTTATTAAAGATAATTCTAATAAAGTTAATCCCATTTATTAAAGATAATTCTAATAAAGTTAATCCCAAACTGCAAAGTAAATAAAATGTATATATCTCCTATACTAGTGATTCACAATTAAAAAAACGCAAATCCACAGGCTCAACCTACAAGGAAATACTGACAAGAGAAGGATAAACCTGTTATCAGATATTCCATGAAGGAAACTACTTTAGATAATCAATTATATGTAAGATATTTACTTCTCAGGAAGAATTCCACAGTTGTGTAACAGCTTTACCTAGCTAAGTTTTCTTATGGTGAAATTATTCATAAAAGATTAAAATTTATTTCACTAGCATTCTAACCAATAGGCAAACAAGTGGTATCTTTGAAAGTTTGAAAACAATGACATTTCAAATATTTTACAGAAGCCTACAGTATTATATTTCCAAAACCAACAACCTTAATCTATCCAAATTCTCTTTAAATCAGGGGTCACTAAATGATTTAGTATTTGTAAGAAAGGGTAAAAGCTGAGGAGCCTTTCAAAATAGACCAATTTCATCAGCATTACATAACCTTGCAGGAGAGCCTGACCTTGTACAGAGATTAATTATTTTGAACAGTCTCAAAATTCTTTTGCAGTTCCAGGATTTGTGGATTTGATAGTGTAGAAAGAACTTTAACAGCATACCAGAGGATTCAAATTTTACTATGGATGCTATTATTAACTGGATTAATATTAATTGCAACACTTCTCCTTTCTGGGCCTCTTTGATCATCTATAAGAAATATTCCTGGAAGAAAAAAACAAAACCATTGACTTTTATCTGTATCTAGTTTTCTAATGCTGTTTCAGTCTAAACACAAATGCTACTGTTTGGTAAAATATGGTCAACAGCATCTGCTCCTACAATTTTTTTTTTTTTTTGCCTTTTTAAATAAACAGGGATAAAGAAGGTAAGAACACATTAGAATATTCCTTTAGATCCTGTGAATAATTCATCCATAATATGGTCTAAGTATATTAATTAAGCATAAGCCAAGTATAGATTTATTTATTTTGACTCCAAGATACAAAAAAGTGATCAACTTCAGTGAAATTCCTTCACTCTGAGTCTTAATATTATGTAACAGTGAAACATAACAATTTTACTACTTACATTCTTAACACTACATGTACAGATCTCCATTTTCTATTTACTATTTGCCCATCATCTCCTTTCACTTGGGGGATCTTCCAACCTACACAAAGGATGGAGAAGATACCTAGAGCAGTTCTACTGATGAAATAGGTACTATTACATTTTACCACATGATACTATAAGCTTTGCATTTTATTTTCATAACTACTTTTCTTGCTATCTTTCATTCTGGCCCTACTTCATAACATCCTACAGGACTTACAATTTCATCAAATATTTTTTCCTGAACTCTGAAGAGAAACAGAATTGATAGTATTACCAGACTGTGATGACGAGAGTATCTTCCCACTGGCAAATTTTTGATTATGGAGACTTCTCTTGGATTTAATTTGGACTGGAAACAGAAAATAAAGTTTAAATATCCTTGGGTTTTACTTTCATCCCTGAACATGATGAGATGGACTATCCCAAGTCCTTCTTAAAGTGGCAAGTTCTCACCATCAGCAGAGCACAGCCAACTATTCTGAAGAAGCAGCACATGAGACAGGGTATGTATGCATATGTATGTAGGTGGGTGTGTATAAGAGGGAGGGAAGAGGGAGAAAAAGAGACCACATGGGAGAGCACAGTTTAGTTGGAAAAGCCTGGACAATTACGAAAACTATTTGTTCCAATTAAAAATCCTTGATTAAATCACCCTACCAGGCTATTGATTGTAATGCTAAATAGATAAAAATGTCACACAGTTGAACAGGTGAAGGCCAGTATCCTAGAAAGAGTCAAACATATTTGTAGCATGAAGCAGAAAAGACTGTTGCAGTACCTCTATCAAATACTTTTATCCATTCCCCCCAAAACCCCTGATATTAAAAAAATGAAGTAGGAAGACTGAAAGTACCACCTTTCTTCAGATATGATTTCTCAGTATGGCCAGCTACTAGTTTTCATCAAATACAAACATGGGACACAATCAAGAAAACATTACCATTTTGGAGTCCTTTTTAGAAACTGCCAAAAACATGAACACTTTCAAAATGGTAGTTTCTTTATCAAAAAACTCCTGAAGAAATCTGAGTATTCCGTAGGCAGACAGTACACCTTACTGCCAGACAACACATCTGATTTTGGGGCACTGATAAAGACAGAAGCTCTCTGTGTCACTGTCACCCACTGCTCTCTTCTTAAGTATGCACTGGGGTGCAAGACTGTCATCAATCCTGAAAGAAATCTTATCTGTTGTTGTGAAAGTATTCTACCATTTCAAGTGCCAATCCTTGATAATTGCCTGTGTAAGGATTTGCATGAAAAATCTACTATTATGAAAGTTGCCAGATTCATGAAAGCCAAGACTTCCAATTAAGAGCTTCTCAAGAGGTTTTGTCAAGAAATGAGAGCGTTATAAAGTTCTTTGCTATATGTAAGTTCACTGGCTTTCAGAAGACAAAGTCTATAGCCTGATACTGCTGTTTACAGGATAAAATACATTCTTTTTAAAGAGTTTAATGCTTCAATCTTAAAAGCAAAACATGGAGTCATAATCTTTTCCTTCCTAACACAGCATTAATGATACAGGTCTTGCCAAACATGATCTCAGTAACTCGAAAGCAAATAAAATGATGCAGCATGAATTTATCTGAAGAGTCTAGGAGAATTCTTATTTCTTAACATGTCTATTTTCATCAGGCAATAGAATTTACAGTTTCCATTTACTCTTTTGTTCTTTTGTGAAATAAGAGTTTTCAGTGCTTTTCACCAAAGTCAACATTGATTGAATATCAAAGATTATATAAAAGTTTCAAAGTCAAAGATAAGAGCATAGTTTCAACTTGTTATTTTAAAAGTTAAATAGCAGCCTATTCATTAAAATTTAGCATTAAACAGAACTAAAGCTTAATTTTGGTTAATTTGTACCACTTAGATTTATTCATTGCTCTCACATAGTGGCCACTGGTTTTTACATGAAAAAAAATGTGACATAGTTCTCATGAAGATTCTTTTACATTCTGTTTAAAAGAGCATGTTTCAATATAAATGTGCAAAATTTTATGTACACTACGCACATTTTTTAGTGGGAGAACATTTATAGCTTTCATCAGACTTTTACCAGGTATGTAACACAATTTAAGACCCTCTAGTTTAAATCTAGTATTCTGTGCCTCCACATTATACAATTTTTCTATTTTATTACAAAATTTTTTTTACCTGTTTCTTTCCCACTACCAAGATATCTGCTGCTCATCAACTCTGGTTTAAATTTCTATCACTGCTTTTGCTACTGCATTTTAATTTTACCTATTTCTCCATACTTCTCTTCCAGCAGTCTTTTTTCCCTGTGCTGCACTGCATTTATTCGCTGACATATAGAATAATTTCCTTTTATATTTTTAATCAGTAAACTCAATTGTTTCCCTTCAGATGATAATAGGATGAGTCAAAGTAAACATCTTTAGATCCTCAGCTCTATAATTCATGCCAGTGCTATCACTCCAAGGTGCAAACAATATGCAGAAATGTAAGGCAATCTATCACAATCTTAAACATTCACTGAAATTATGCACTAATATAAGATTCAATTTTGTAAACTATCAACCATAAATAGTACTTTGGGATCCTTAACTATAATGTAAAAAAGGTCACAAAAGGTAAGGAAACAAGAGATCAGAAAGGGGTAAAGGAACGAAGAATCAATGCAACGACACAGCTTAAAATGATCAATATGATCATTCTATTTCTGTTTTCAGCTGGATTATGAAGAAATTAGCTTAACATGAAGGAGAACTCTCTAAATCAGTTTTTCTAATCTAACTGGAGGGACTTCGGCTTTGTTCTTCTTAGAGATGGAAAAATGTACAAAATCTCTTTGTATTAAACGTTTCCATGTTTTGCTATACTTACCACCCAAAGAAATACATCAACAGCAAAGTTAAACCACTGTAAAAGTTCTCCCAAGAGTTTTCTTTTTTCTTTCAGATGTACTATAAGAATTAAATTTGTCATTTATTTTCAATATAATCCTTAGTTTTCTGATAAAAAATCTTGGCTTAATCTAACTATAACTACAATTATGAATATTCTTATAAAATAATTTTTATGTATTATAAAAGTTCACACTTTACTAGGTTATGGTATCCAAGTTAATCCAAAGGCATTCTATGATCAAGCAAGCTTCAGAAACATAAAGCTTATTTTTTAGTAATATGCTTTTAAAAAATGTTATTTTAGAATGATTTCGTGAGACCAAATCTGCAATACAGTTAATGGGTAACATGTGCTAATATGATATGAAAATGGTAGCGTGAACAGAAAAATGAAATGAATCAGTCATTTCCTTATATTGAAATTGAGGCAGCAAGTGATTTAAAAATTTAAAAGAAATAAGGATTAGCAACTATCTTTAAAATCTATTTTCCAGGGACTGAGGGGGATGGAAGGACACAAGATGAATAAGATCTAAAGATCTACTGGATAGCATAGTGACTATAGTTAATAATAACATTGCATAATTGAAAATTGGAAGATTGTAGATCTTAAATGCTTTCACCCTGGGGGGAAAGAATAATTACGTGAGGTGATGAATATGTTAAGTAGATTGACTGCAGTAATCATTTCACAATGTATACATATATCGAAACATCATTTTATACACTATATTTATATATAATTTTTATTTGTCAATTACACCTCAATAAAAACTGAAGGAAAAAAACCCCAAAACCCATTTTCCAATAAATTCTCAGATCTAGGAAGAACATCAAAAAATAACTTACCTTTTTGTCTCTGGTCCTTACTTCCCCATAGAAATCTAGGGCCTCTTGTGCCTTTAAAAATTTGCCCCGATGTAATAAATATGCACAAATCATTACACCAGTTCGTCCCTTTCCAGCTTTACAGTGAATTGCTGCAACATGATTGTCATCTTCACTTAGCCATTGGTCAAGATCTTCACAAAAGGGTTTGATAAGTTCTAGCTGTGGTGGGTTATGGTCTTCAAAAGGATATTGTGCAACTGTGGTAAAAAGATAACCTCAGAATAAGAAAACAAATCCTCTGAATTTTTAATTACAAGTAGGTTAACTTTAGAAATGTTGCATACAAACTTAACAAGTGTTTAAAAGAAACACTGGATTCCAGAGAAAAATAACATATTGCTTAACTAATTTTTAAATAGAAAATAGTCTCTTGCTAACTTAAAATATAATCATTAGGAAAACCAAGTATTATTTTCCCCCATTTTACTCAGGAGGATACATTCTGTGAATTTACGCTCTATGGACTAGTGGCATAGGTCACATACTAGAGGTAGAGCTAAACCCAAAATGAAATGACACATGGACATTTTGTCAGGATTCTCAATGCAAAAGGAATAATAATATTTAGAGTATTTATTTCATCATCACAAAACATAGTCCAAAGATAGAACAGATTACTAATAGGATAAACTATGGAAAAAAACTGCATATTACATTTAAAAAAAATAAAAATGCTAAGTATGTCATTTAAAGGTGTTCTTGTAAATGTTAGTGTTTTATACACATGTAATCATTAGGAAAGCCAAGTATTATTTTCCTCCATTTTATGCAAGAAAATACATTCTGGGAATTTACACTAAATGGACTGGTAGCACAGGTTACATATCAGAGACATGTGAAGGCATATACCAAAGAAATTACTTACTAAATGTATATAATTGCTATCAAAGTTTCAGGTCTTGTCACATGAATTATTAAATGTCCAATGCTTTTTTGTTCACTATAGTCAGAATTGAGGTTTTTTTAAAAACTCGTTTAGAAACAGGACTACAATATATCATTATTAATTGTTCCCAGTAGTATCTACCTTAGTTCCACTCTGTTAAGATCCTTAAAAAGCCTGACTGATATTCAATGTACTATCCTGTGTCATCTAAATATATGAGAAGTATGTCTTACATCTCCAGTCGAGTCACTCATATTGTGGTACAGAATACAATCAATTAGGTCCCTTGGTGTGAAAGGAGAGCTCTTCTGGTAGACAATGACTGTCATTATAGAAAGTCAGCAGGACGGCTTTCACTTAGTCATCTCCCTAACTTCATTTTCCCAGTGGTACAGAAAAACCTCCAGGAAAATCTGTTACATGTCTATTTAAAGCAAGATAAACCTGAACTAAAGCCTGCTTTGCCTAGTAAACAACAGCCTAAATCCACCAAAACAAAAACAAAAAAACATAATGAATCTATACTAAATCTCAATCACTAGTGATTTAGAATTTTCAAACCAACTGTCTGAAAGTCCATTCTAGATTTTCAGGAGGGATCAATGGCAAATATATCAATCAGTACCCTCATGGCACCCACTTTCTCTTTTTGACTATCACAGCAGCATCTGCCAAGCTTCTCAAATCTTCAGTTCTCTCATAGTGTTAAGCCATGAGAGAACTCAGTTGTATTTCACAAATAAAAGTGAATGCTTTTGCGGGCTCTGAGAGTTAACTTACGCCTGGAGTAGAATTCATTTAAAGCAGCTCCCTCCACTCATCTATCTGCTTTCTCCCTATAGTTGCTTATTATTAGACCAACTGCCTCAAACAGTATCTCCTTATACTATTTTTAGTCTAGGAATTTTCCTAATTCTTAGTCTATCTGCACTTCTAGCCTCCCTGAAAATATTAATAAATTTATGCAATACTTTTTCCCTAAAACATGAAAGCAAAATTAATTTTTTCAAATTTTTAAAGATCATTCTTAAGATAAATATGTATCTCACTCAATAATCTAGATGATTCACTCTTGTTATGACAGTAAGATATTATCTATTGGGTTTAAGTTATACAACATAGTACATTTATACCTACCTCTGCAATTAAATTTGGCGGTGTCATAATGTCTTTCAGCACAACTAAAAGAAAAGTTTAGAAGTGATATAAAGTTATCTTTTGCACTTAGGAAGAAAAAAAGTATTAATATTAAAAAACATTGCCTGAATGTGATAACATACTGTTATCACTTCCATTTCATAATATAAAACCAAAGCTTAAAAGATTAAGTGTATGCAATTAGGGCTAACACATTTGCTCACAAAACTTGCGATGCCACTAATATACAGTACTGCAAATTCAGGTGCTTTCATGCCTTCAAATTTCCTCTATGAAAATTTTGCATGCTATTGGAATTTTTTTTATTTTATTTTATAAGTACCTATAAATAGTTTCAATAGTACCTGACTACTTTCAATAGGATCTGTATCTCATAGTTAAGCATATATAATTCTCAAACTATTCTTCAAAAACATGTATGTTAAAAATAACAAAAGCATAAGGACAGGAAAGAAAAACTGAATGATGCCAATTAATCTACTTGGATACAATGCTAATTTTTTTTTAAAAACAAGCATTTCTCCCTGTTGAAAACCCAGTGGTCATCTTTCTCATCAGTCTCTCAGGTTGCAAGTTTTAATTACGGTATGAGAGTAATGAAAGAATAAGTAAAATCAATACGGAATAGTAAAATGCTGATTTGTCATTACTAGAGTATGCTAACATTTGTCTTAATAGTAGTGATATGTTAGTATGTATGGCCTCCTAATAATTAACAGCCCATGTTTACAAACAACAAAAGGCTTTGAAAGAGATCTTATATGTCAGTTGTTGTCAGCAGTATCTTGGTAACTCCAACTACTAAGCAAAAGAAATTAAAAAAAAATATATTTAAAATAAAATCTTAGCATTTTAAAATAAATAAAGGCCCATAGCTCCTTAACCTGCAATTCCAAAATCCCAAAAGTAACATTTTCTCTTAAGTTTTATGTCAAACTCAACTGCAGCAAATCCTGATCTGAAGTTATAAGACTGTACATAATCTTTAGAGTGAAGAGTTAAACATTTCATTTCAGGTACTAACCCCACCCCACTGGGGTGTTTATGTAGAAGTATATACATCTGTGTTACCTTTTTGAAAATTAAAATCTCTGAATATTGAAACATACCTGGCCCCAAGAGTTTCAGATAAGTGATTGTGGACCTGTATTGTATATTTAGAAACCCTGAAAAACATCTATATAGTTTCTCTACTTTAAAGAATTTCAGACCAGGCATGGTGGGTCACGCCTGTAATCCTAGCACTTTGGGAGGTCAAGGAGGGTGGATCACATGAGGTGGGGAGTTCAAGACCAGCCTGGCCAACATGGAGAAACCCCGTCTCTAGTAAAAAATACAAAATTAGCCAGGTGTGGTGGCAGATGCCTGTAATCCCAGCTACTCAGGAGGCTGAGACAGGAGAATTGCTTGAACCCAGGAGGCAGAGGTTGCAGTGAGCCGAGATCACGCCATTGCACTCCAGCCTGGGAAACAAGAGTGAAACTCCATCTCAAAAAAAAGGAAAAAAAAAAGAAAAGAATTTCAAAACCAAATTCACATGAAGGTTTAACTAATTATAAATTAGTTAATGCAATCCATTGGTTTCTAACTGGTCAGACCTGAAATAAAACAACTTTCGTATTACCACTCAAAGTAAAACAAGCTTTTCCTTTTTAGTATAATTTAGTATACTGAGTTTTGCTAGAAAGAAAATGCATTTAGTAATGAAATATGCACATATATGCATCCTTGCTAATAATTTCATACCCACTGATATGAAAAACAGGAAAAAGAAGAGGACTGATAAGGAAGATAGTCACGTTTTACACTTTCTTTAGTACAGACAAAAGAGGAGAAATTGTCAATAGTGAAGAATTCATAATGGAGTATTTTATAAGGAATCATAGATGTAGGACTAGGAAACAGAATCTAAGAAACAGAAAATAACCATTAGTTTTGTGCAGCTTCAGTTCTAAACTTCCACTACTTTCTCAGGATCCTAGAACATGTGCTTTGATGGACACTCCTTAAGACTGCCTTAATAAAATGGTTCTCAAATATTACTGTTAAAAGGACTATACGGACAAAAAGTGGAAATAATAACTACTAAGTGTTAACTAGATAAACACACCTTACAAAGAGTTTCTACTTTTTTTGTTTCATCCTCAAAACCATGTGATAATTGTCAATATTATCTTCACTTTATATATGAGAAAGCTAAGATTTAGAAGAACATTTAAAAACTTGCCCCAAACAACAGTATATAAATGAAAGAGCCAGAACTTAAACTCAACATCTGATTACAAAAGTCAAACTTTTTCCACTACTATTCCATAATCCTACTTATAATTTTAAAAAAAACAAAAGTTTTAAATACAAAAGCAATAACAAATTTTAGTCAAAGCAGCATTCCTATAAGAGCAGTAATAATAGAATCAACAGTGACAGTAAAAAAGCATGAAAATAGTTATGAAAATCTTCACAGGTAAGCATAGGAAATATGAGAGCAAATATGCTGGGACTGGTAATGATAAATGTGTTCAAGGAAGGAGCTGGTAGAATAAGGATGAAGGCTTTCTTCTTAATCAAAATCTCTGATACATGCCTTCCTTCCACCTACCACCCACCCACAGTTTCTTTTAAATTCTTTGTGGTTTGGTAGTGATAAGTCTCTCAACAAACTAAAATTAAAGATACACAAATGGCAAATGGGGTTTAACCATTTAAATTTAACCATTTATATGTCCTTATAACTAAAACTCAAAAGATACCATTACTTCATATTGGCTTATATGAGACAAGAGAAATGAATAAGCATTTAAAGAATGAATTTTTATGAAGCAAAAGGCAGAAACTGAAGAAAGGAGTAAGATCAACAGGAAAAGCTTCCAGAGACTTGAGAGTTGCCATAGAATCAGCAAGGCAGGCAGGTCTCTTCTTTACTCTCTTCAATGAAGCTATCACTATCTTACAAAAGAAAACTTAATAGATAAATATTAGTAACAGCTAAAGGTTTACCACAAAATGATAATGTCAAATAAAATATGCAGTGAAATACAGTAAATACATTTTAAAAATTAGTATACAGTGAACACTTAAATTCCTCAAAGGCAAGAAGTACACATCTCTTTATTCACTACCTCCCCTTCCCCATCTCTACCAGATTATAGAGCAAGGAACAAAAATAAAATATGCTTGTACAAAACAAACTGATTAATTCAATTGAGTATCAGTACACCTGAATTTGCTTAATGTTATGAATGCCTGAAGAAAACAGATACAGATACAATTATTAGAAAATCCATATTAGGAACTCTTCACCCATGTATATCATATTTTTGCTATAAAATGTTTAACATACTATTAAATGTGGGTATGCCTAGTGCAAATATTTTAAGATCTTTAAATTATGTGTGTTTGCAAAGACATATATATCTCATGTAATAACTATCCTAAAAATAAAAGAAATAAAATAGAACACCTGCTGCTTGCCAGACTCACTTACCCAGAATCAGAAACATAAACGGGTAGAAAAAGGGTAAAGTTGGAAAGTGACATTAGAACTCAGAACATGCTATAACTTAGTAGTTCTAAAAACTTCTGAAGTCAGTAAAATTCGGAGAGGTTAAAACGAACAAGGAAAAAAGCAAAACATAGAGGGAATATTGGCGTAAACAGTGGATGGTCTGCTACCATATGTACCTGTGTGACCTTGTTCAACTCACTTAACTTCTCTAGGCCTCAGATTCCCCATCTGTAAAATGAGAAGGTTGGACTAAATGATCTCTTTCAGGTACTTTCCAGTTCTGAAAGTCAATGATTTCATGTGGGAAAGGGGTGTTAAAATATATGCATTAAAAGCTACCCTCAACTAATCAAGAGACTTCATTAACTTGGGAATCCTATGTTTGGAAATATAAAAACAAACAGGCAGTCAGGTTCCTAGGCTCTCTCCAATGCCAACTTTAACCATAATAATGTAAGTGACCTACAATACTGACAGTACAGCCAAAGTTCTAAGTTCTGGAAGCAGGAAGTCACTACACACAGGAATGAAAAGAATTTCCTCCCCTTTCTTTGAATATGTTAAGCTAGATATTGAAAAAGGCAGAATTTGTCTTTAGTGTCCTTCAACCACCATTCTGAGACTCTCTAAATTCTGATAGTCCAAGCCTGAAGTGACTCAGTTTATGGCTTCCGGCTTTTGAAAGTTCTTGTCCTTTTTTATTACTTAAATTCTGAATCCAACCGTACAAAAAGTACAAAGCTTTGTGGTTTTCATTTTCCTCCAAAGAAACACTATGGTATCTGCAACAAGGCACTTTGTAGGAGAGGTTTATCAGGAAAAGAAGAAGACCCCTAAATGCTTAGATCACATGCAAGTTGGACCCATTAAGTTTCCATAACACCTTTTACTTTATCTTGTTGCCTATTGCCACTGCAATTCTCTCCCACCCCAACATACACACACTACAATCTGATTATAATGAATTAGTTGCTATATTCTACACACTTTTGTGCCAACAAACTTCTTACAATGCCATTCCTTTTGACCTGTAATGCCACTTCCCCTCCTCTCCTAGGCTTGAAAGTCAACCCTTACTGGTTCTTTTCACCCCAGGTCAAATATGCCTTCCTTTATGAAACCTTCCCTGTAAGGTACAATTACTATTTCCAATGTTCTCTTAATTACAACCTTCTATACAAGTTACTTCTTCTGTAATGCCTTGTCTACCTGTTATGGTAGAATGTAAGCTACTTGAGAACTGGAGCTACATCCCATTCACCTCTGTACACATCCTCCACAACATGTTTTGTGATATCTAATAAGTGATACAGACTTAACAAATATTTCTTCCTTTGTGAATCTGAGAAACATCAGTGAAAATTCACTGAAAGTAATAATATCAATGTCCACTCCGCTCTCAGTACTTCTGATACTTTATCACACTAGAAAGATCACTAAATTATAGATAAAAAAGCAACACCCCACAAGACAACATGGCACAGAGAATCTTTCTTTTTGGTAAACATTTAATGCCCACTGAAGGCAGGGTGAATCTTGTTCTTATGTTTGATAAACTCTATAGACAAATTATAACAGTGAATTAGTGTGTATAAAACTTTAAATTAAAATTTTTTCCTATCTATAATTTACAAATATCACATGGGAAAGATAAAAGTCAGGTCGAAAAATAACATCTTTTATGTGCTGATTTTTAAAAATCAGAATATAGTCCGTATTTTGAGAAGCAAAAAGTCTTTATGGGTAAAAATTGTCAAAGCAGTTTCTTCCTTCCTTCCTTTTTACCTTTTCACATCTCTACTCCCAAAGTCAAAATAAAAACAAAAAGGAAAAGATAAAGACTCAACAAGTTCTATCAATCAGGTGGGCAGTCCTTAAAACTCTGTCCTAGACCAGACAAACCACCTAATTCAGCAATTTTAAATAACTTACGTTACACACAGTTAGAGAATGCCCTAATAGCTTTTTCAGTCAATTGCTCTAGAGACAGAGAATACACAAAATTATATTCACTCTAAAGTATACCTCCACGGAAGAAGATGCTATTAGTGCTTTAACAGAAGCTCTGCTGTGAATTACACTTAAAATTACCACACAGTTATGGACTCAAAGATGGGCTAGATGCCAAGTCATTTAAAGCAGATCAAGTAACATGAATCTGTGCCAACATTGTTTTACCTCATCACTACACTTTCTAAATGATCTAACCATGCTCTCGGACTTCTTGAATTAATTGGTTTAGGAATACAATTCTGTTAAAATATATCTTTAATTCTACCTCACTCTAACAAGGAAGTAACTTTCACTTAATAGTTGTTTTAGACGATATTTGCAAGCATACAAATAAGAAAACATACTTACAGATTGTATATCTTGTAATGGTTTTTATGCTTTGAATCCAAAAACCTTAAAACAAAACAAACAAACAAAAAGCCACCATTAACAAAAATGAGCTAACATTTGAAATTACATTAATACTATTGAGAAAAACCAAAAGACTCTCTTTTCCCTAATCTCAAATATCATTTAAGTGAAAATAAATATTCCAAACAAATATTCCCTTCCATGGGTTTAGAGTAATCATGTCATTCTTAAATAATTATTACATTACACAGATTTATACAATCTGAAGTAAAGCCAGAGCTTTTCACAGAATGAATATTTTCATAATCTATCTTCAACCTAACATGAAGAGACTATTAAAACATAACTTCTTTAAAAGCATTAGCATTTAGTGCAAGTATACCTAGCTCAGACAGATTTGCAAGATAGTCATAATCAAGCACTGTTGAAAATAACCCTAAAAATTCAGACATTTTCCCTTCAAACTAAAAACTTTTGATATATGAAAGATCCATATGTTAACTACTAGCTCTGTATAAAAGTATTAAACATTTTCACATATATATTCTCATTCGACCCTCACAAACATCTGAGAGATAGAGCTTATTAACATTTTACAGAAGAAGGTAGGTCTCAAACAGATTACAGAACTCACCCAAAGTCATGTACAGCCAAGAAGTCAAAGAATCAAGACCAAAGACCCCTTCCTCAAGACAGTTATGAAAGTAAACAATAACAATTACAGCTAATACAAGCACTCACTATATGCCAGGCATATTCTAAGCACCTCAGATACATAAATTGTTTAATACTCAACACCATAAGGTAGGCAAAAGAAGGGCTAGAATAGCATAAGGCTGAGGAATTGAAAGAACATTTAGAATAAAAAGACAAATGAAAATCTGAAGACTGAATAAAAATTAAAAGTTCAAGACGTTCAGTATATGTTAGGAGTTCCAGAAACAGAGAACACTGAAAAGAAACCGAAGCTATAACTCAGGAAAAATACTCAAAATTGAAGGATGGGTGTTTTCAAACTGGAAGAGTGCACGAGTACCTGGCAAAACAGATGAAAACAGTAGAAGCATACGTATCTTATGAAATTTCTGAATACCAAAGAAATAGCAGACTCTAAAAGCTGCCTGAGAAGAAAGAGGTTTCATAAAAATAATGTGGAATCAAAATGACATTACTCTTTTTAACAGCAAGATTAGCAGCTAAAAAACAACTGGGCAAAACCTTCTGATTTTGAGGGAAAACTCGGTCTAGAATTCCATACCAAGACAGACCATAAATCAAGTGTGAGTATATAATAAAGGCATTTTAAAACAAGCAAAATCTCAAATAATTTTGTTTCCCATACACTTTGTCAGGGAGTTACTAAAGATGTGCTCTGCCAAAACAAGAGTGGGAAACCATGAAAGAAGATGATAGTTTCCAAGAACTGAAGAATCTAACTCACAAGAGAAGAAAAGAGAATCCCTAGAATGACAGTGAAGGAACATCTTAAGTAGACAGCCATACAGCAAGCCAAGCAGAACAATTAACCCAGACTAGGAAAGATCAGAAGGCACCTGGAAAAGATAAAATTGATATAATGCCAAATGTGCTTAAACATGTTGAGAGACTTATACAATTAGGGGCAAGCAAGTTTATGAATTAAAGTTAAGAACACTGAAAACTAATAATGAAAAAAAGAGAGAGAACTGTAAGTCCAAGAAAAACAAAACATGCAGGAAAAAAATCATAAAATGCTATATCACTTAACTATGAATGGCATTTATCTAGTTACAATCCCATAAAAAGTCAATATTGATATAACCGAAATTATAATGTAACTACTGGCAGGAGTTATAACTACTGGCAGGAAGAAGGATGAGTAGGACCTCTGAAAACATGTGTGTGGTGAGGTGAGGAAAAAGAGAATATGAACTTGAATCTGAAAAATTGTATTACCAAGTAGTGCAAGCAGTATTTTTAACTGTCACCAATAGAAGTTATACATTTTTATATCACACTACAGTTGTTGCAGATAGGCTATGATCCTTAAGAACAAAGAAACACAGTGCCCCTTGCTTTCAGCATGGTGGCTCTTCTCTGATGCAGAAGGAAATGGAACTCAAGTGGAACACATATTTCACTGAGGTAAACAGGAAGAGATTAGACTGCTCAGGCCGCTGGAGTTTGTGGAGCAAGGGCCTAAATTTGTATGGATTTCATATCAGGTATTTGGCTGGGAGCTGGCCTGTCTAAGCACAGGATCTGAGAGCATAATGGAGATGATACCAGAGATAATGTAATATAATACTTGGAGAAGCTGGGAGTTCTGGCCCAGGCAGAGTGGAAGAGACCTCCTGGAACACTCAGATACTTAGCTGAGACACCGGAAAGGGCAACCTTAAAGTAAAAACCATGCCCTAGGACAAAAGACAAATCTGAAATAGGCCTGCCTTAACAAAGAGAACCAAACCTGACAATACTAGATCAACTGTTAATTCAAATGCCTGACAAAATGAAACTCAGAACCCTTAAAGGAAGTAACAATCCAAACTCCCTACAACATTTGAACATACGATTAAAATTTACTAGACAGGCAAAGCAGAAAAACATGACCTATTACAAAGAAAAAAGAGCAGGCAATAAAATCAGACTCCAAGATGAACCAGATGTTTGAATTAGCAGACAAAGACTTTAAAACTGTTACTATAAATGTGTACAGAGATGTAAAGAAAAATGATTACAATGAGTGAAAGATGAAAAGTCTCTGCAAAGACATAGAAAATACAAAAGACAGCAATTCAAGGCCTCAAAAGTACAATATCTGAGAAAAAAAAATCTATCAGATGATCTCAACAGAAGATTGTATACTGAAGAAGAAAGGCGTGACAGACTGTATTTTCCAAAAATTCATTTAGCAAGTATTTATCCAGCACCTGTTACATAACAAACACTACTGTGGGCATAGTGGCAACAAAACTCCAAGTTTTGATAACCATAATAATGAATGCTTCTAGCAGCCTGAGAAACCCAGTGGAGAACTAGCTTTTGGTATCTCATTTGGAAAACAGCCTAAGGACATTGGACAGCTCCCACAAATCCTAAAATAAATGAAAAAGAAAAATTAGCATCTGAAAAGGCAAAATAATTATTTATTTGCTATTTTTTTCCACGGCTAATTCACTATTTGTAACCATACATATTTCTCCTTGTATTAGTCTATTCTCACACTGCTATAAAGAATTACCTGAGACTAATTTATAAGAAGAAAGGTTTAATTGGAGGCCTCAGGAAACTTATAATCATGGCAGAAGGCCAAGGGAAAGCAAGCATGTCTCTGTGGTAGGAGAAGGAAAAAGAAAGAGAGAAAAGAGGGGAGGTGCTACACATTTATAAACAAGCAGATCTCAGGAGAACTCCTTGCATGAGACAACACTAGGGAGATAGTGCTAAAACCATCACAACTCACCCCCATGATCGAATCACCTCCTACCAACCCCTCCTTGAACACTGAGGATCACAACTCAACAAGAGACTTGGGTGGGGACACAGAGCCGAACCATATCACCCCTGTTGCATTCATGTTTAATCAACACTTGCTCTTAGAACCCTAGTATAACTACAGCTGTTACTGCTGTTACTAACACATAAATTTACACATAAATCATCCCTGCCTTATCCCATTAACACAGGCAAGCCCCAAACATTTCAATTCTTAACTACTGTCTCTTGACCATCTTCAGGATGGTTATTAGAATTAATTCTGTCACATATCCAATACAAGGAAAGTAACTATCTTGTTTAAAATGTTCTTGTTTGTAACTTTTATGTGACAATACTGCTTTCTCCTACACTGCTTCAAGTTAAAGAAAAAACAAAACAGCTTTGTATAATTCTGCTTGGAAACAGTGATTCCTAGTACTCAAGAAAACCTACTCTAAATAGTTAAAGCTGGAGGGAAAAGAAATAAACAGTGGCAGGCTGGGCACAGGGGCTCAGGCCTATAATCCCAGCACTTTGGGAGGCCAAGGCAGGCGGATCACTTCAGGTCAGGCATTTGAGACAAGCCTGGCCAACACAGTCAAACTGTCTCTACCAAAAATACAAAAATAAGGCAAGAATGGTGTAATCCCAGCTACTGGGGAAGCTGAGGCAAGGAGAATTGCTTGAACCCGGGAGGCTGCAGTGAGCTGAGATCATGCCACTGCACTCCAGCCTGGGTGACAAAATGAGACTCCCCCAAACAAAGAAATAAACAGTGGCAGAACCAACCTATAACTAACTGACGAAATTTGGAAGGCTATCAAAAATAATACTAAAAACTGCTAAATATTTCTTCCAAGAAATTATACCATTTTGTGCTTTTACCAACATACATAAGAGTTCCAGTTAATCTATGACTTTGCCAATCCCTGTAAGCCCTTTTTTAGCCATCCCATTATATATGATACCTCACTGTTAAATTTTCATTTCCCTGATGACTAACTTTAAACATCTTTTCATATGCCTATTGACCATCTATATATCTTCTTTTGTAAAATTTCTGTTTACATTTTTTGCCCTCTTTTTATTTTTGAGACAGGATCTCACTGTGTCACTAAGGCAAGGGTGCAGTGGTGCAATCACAGCTTGCTGCAGCCTCTGCCTCCCAGACTTAGGCTATCCTCTCACCTCAGACTCCCAAACAGCTGGTTCTACAGGCGCATGCCACCATATCCAGCTAATTTGTTGTATTTTCTTTATTCTGTAGGGACTGGGTTTCACCATGTTGCCCAAGTTGTTCACAAACTCCTGGGCTCAAGCAATCCACCCACCTCAGCCTCAAAAGTGCTAAGATTACAGGTGTGAGCCACCACACCTAAACTGCCCTTCTCTTTATGGAGTTATCTTCTTATTATGAAGTTGTAAGAGCATCTTTATGTATATATTATACACTCAAATTCTTTTTCAGATATATGCATTGCAAATATTTTCTCCAAACTGTGCTTGCCTTTTCATTTTCTTAATCTTTCAAAGAGCAAAAATTTTTAATGCTGATAAAGTTGATTTTGTCCCTTTTTTCTTAT